CAGTACATACGGATGAGGAGACCCGTTCGGGGTTGACGGAGTGAAACAACAGGTGGTTGGTTAGGAATGGGATGCTGATGAACGCGGTTATCACTATGTACAAATACGGAGCAACATAATGACTATTCGATGAGAAAGCACCAAATTACATGTTATTCGCGGGGGTGGGGGGACGAAACATCTGAAATGGGTGCGTTCGTCCGATATTGCAAGTAAACCATGGTGGAAATGGGGTTAAACGCATGGAATTAGTGTATGGCACCGAACACGTGAAACAATTTGTCAGCAAAAGAGCGTCCAGCCTTCGCATACCTCCACTCATCCCACCCATCCCAATGCACACAGATATGTATTTTTCCTCATCTGTAGGCCTATTCCAGACCGTTTGTTTCTCATTTGTCATTGTGCTTGATCGTAATACGCGGAAAATGACACACATACACACACACACACGCCCCACGTTTACTTGAGCTCGTAAGGCTGAATTCACCTGTGATTTGAAACTGACGACCTAGATTTAGATGCACAAACGAGGGTCAGTGCTGATGTTCAATGGATAGAATTGATCACGATCATAGCCGAAGGAGCTGAAGCAGGCTGTCAGGAAACGATTGTGCAATACCGCGTTTTCGCCAGTTCCTTCCATATTGCGCGCTCAGATAGTTTGGAAATCTCTCGAGCAATTCAGGAGGAATACAAGTAAAGACACGATACTGAGAGTACTTCAGTATAGTGAGTATTTGATGAAGGACTTGGAATCAACATTCCCCCTCGGAGATGACCACTGCAGATCTGTAAATGGTTCTAATTGAGCCCATACCGGGTGTTTGGTTAGACGGTATTCGTTTTTGTACCACTGTGCACCGGGTAATACGGTGCTGTCATCAGTCTCAACACTACACTTATTGCACGTGAGCATTATGTGGTGCATCAGCTTAGATTGCTGGTTTCTACACAGTGGATCCTATTGGTCGAGTACACAGTTCCGTAAACTCACAATTCCCACCAACCATACTTGGTCTCGTGTGCAGTGAAATACGGGGCATGTGACAATCGCAGCCCATTTTTATAAACATATATTGTACTGGTATTACTAATTTCTTAGAGTGTACACTGATGGACAACAGAAGTGCTACTCTGACCACAACACACGCGAGTGTATGTTCTCAAAGGTGCAGTTTATGACCAAGAAGAACAATCAACAAGTCTTTTTCTAGTGAAGAGAGGGGGCAGACACCGATCAAGAATTGCTCACCTCATGTGCTCCAAAATGTCAGGGATCGATGCGTCAGGCCAAGCCCCGGACTGATTGAGTTCCCAGTTGGCACGACGTTCCACCTCGGGGAGACCGAGATGACCAGCCAGATAACAATCTGGTCCGGGTGCCGCATCATCCCGGATACCGTTCGGACGTAGTTCATCTCCAGCCGGCCCGATTCGACGACGGTGTGGTTGGGATGGTGGGCGCCGTTCGGGCGATGCGGATGATGATGAAGAGTCACGAAGCATGTGCAATGGATGTCGCAGGGGACGGCCGATGGGGCTTGGCACACCCATAATTTCTTCGGCATCATCCACTCCCCGAAGCCCGGCTAGGAGAGCCGAATGACCGGGACGTGTGGGTAAAACGGCAGAGGGCATTGTCGGTGGAGGTCGATTGTGAGGGATCAAATCGGCTAGAGATTGAGCTCGAGTAGAAGACAAAAACGATACGCTTGGATTCTGTGTGGGATTTGACCGGTCGGGCGGACCAAATGGAAATTCGCCGGCTGCGCAGAGTAAATATGACCAAAGGGAGGAAAAAACTATGGTAAAAAGGAGGCCATCTTTCCAGCGAGAGAAAAAAAACTGTTTTTCTTCCCTTATCAAAACGAGTATAACACTTCGGATCACTGAAAATGTAGTTCAAATCCTCATGAGAATTTGGAAACTCGTAAAGGGAACGCTTATTTTTCTTTGTTTGTTCGATATTTCACTGTGAATAGGATTGAATCACATACTTAATTTGAAGAAACATTCAGAACATTGATTTCGTCTAGCAGATACTGTTTGCCGAAAAAATACTACCCCTCGCCCGTTCTCTTCCTCCGGATTATGGTTCATTTCCCAAGAGGATTACCGCATTCCCCTGACCGTTTCCTATTTGTCTTGTGAGTAGGTAATAAACTGCTGATAGGTTAACAATATCAATGACAACCACTTCAATTCATTCCGTCGGATAAAATAATTGTACGGTTGTTAAATTTCAGGCACAAAGCTACCACGACAGTGGTGGTGACATAAGTGCAATTGCAACACACACACACCATCTCTGAGGTAATTTGATGGTGACCTACACGGCTCGTCTGTCTGATACCCCGATGATGAACGAAACAGATATATCACGAATAAAAATAGACGCAGATTGGAACTGCTGGAAGGCAAGTAACCACACACACACACACACACACACAACCAACGCGATGACACACACTTTCGACACCAGTTCTCCAGAGACTAAGTAGACAAGCTCCACCTGAGTTCATATGAACTCTTTGCACACAAAAAGGGAACAGACCGCGACATCCTTTTCACGAAATGAATCTCTCTCATGAAAACATTTGCTGAGAAAATCCTACTCCAGTGGTGAATGATGTGTTTGCACTAAACTAAGAAGGTGCTTAGCCAATGTCCGGGACGAGTCCGGAAAATTTGGATTGGAAACCGCTCGAGAATGGGGCACACAAGCTGCCCTCAGGACACCACAGTCACGAAAGTTATCGACTGCATTAAGCGACAGGCGAATAAGGTCTCACTGTGTGGTGGTGGATAAGTGGTTTAATTACCTGTCATCGACCAGCTTTGGCCCTACCATACGAGGTTCTAACTTCACCATCGTCACCTAACTTTGGTGGTAGTCGGCTTCGCCATTGTGCGACTTACTACTATGTCTAACCTAGTGGGGCCTCATGAGTGATCCGCCAATCCAAGTCCCGGAGATCAGGTTGCCGGTGGGGGGGGGGGGGTTNTGTTAATCACACAAGACGGTGTTTGTAATAAAACGATGCCCCCGCCCCCCCCCTCGATATGGTACACGCTCTTCATATACCGCCCGAAAACAAGGCACAGATCAATTTTATTGCTACTAAGGCATTCATAGCAAAATCAGCGGGGCATACAAATACAAGAAATGCATAAGTGGTTTCTACAGAGAAACACATCAATCCTTAAACAGAATAAAATCAGTGTCCTTCACCTGTTTCTATTAATGCAATCTGTACGCAGGCAGAACAGAACAGTTCTCCTCCCCCGGAAGAGCATAGCGTATCTGGAAAAGATCCATAGCAATCTCTGGCATTCTACGCAACAATCGTTTCTATAGATAGTCCAATCCATTCATGAAGTAAGTACGATTCTTTGAGATGACTATTACGACATCCAGTTCGGATGTACATAGACCGGGTCTATAAAATAGGGATATAAAAAAAACTAGTTGGAACGGAATGCTTAGTTCGACTTGCTTCAAAGCACAAACTGGAAACAGAGAACATTCGGGGAGGAACAAGGGGTAGAGAGGTACGGACAAAACGATCCAGGTGAGCGTATCTCTCTGCTCACCTCGAAGTCGAGCCTCAAGCGAGACACCGGTTGAATTGTGATTGGCACGGGGTTTGGGGGTCGTTTTACCCGAGGCCACGGACGGAACGAGATTGGCCGCTTGCGAGTGAGCCGGACAAAAGAATTTGTCTAGAAAATCGGGTGAAAAAAGATTCGGACGAGATAAGTATTGGACAATTAAAACCATAAACTGAGTAAGTGGGTTTCTACCATTAGGTAACCAGCAAAAACTAGAGAGAGAATATTTGCGATTTTATGAGCAATATAAACCAATAGAAAAGAGAAAAATGGATAAATCTGCGGACGACCGCTGATTATGGCACCCAGACCGATCGGATCGAATTTACGGCCAACACACACCTAATATATATATATATATATATATATATATATATATATATAT